AGTTTCTGGATTGCAAAATCTACCAGGAATGCCAAATAAGATGCAAAAATGAAAATACAAACAGTGCAATAGTTGTGTGGGAAGCCAGGCCAGATCAGAGGTGTCCCAACTTTTGATCAAGTGATAAAGTCGCCCTTTATCAGTGAGCGATGTCCAGTCAGCCTTTGCATGTCTGTTTTGATATGACCTGTCTCTGTGGTTTCCGTGGCAACAGAAGCCAGGTACAGTTTCTGGATTTCGAAAAGTCTTGAGAAATTTGAAACAAATCTTTTAAAGTTCTTAATATATATATTTTTTACCTTAGACAACTTCTAAAAAAGTGATGAACTGAATCCACTAAAAAATGTTTTTTTCAAATTTGAATCTAAAAGATAAAATGATTTATTAATATATATATACTCAGAAATGTACAAGAAAAATTTTCTTAAAATCTTACATCTTATACATCTATTTAATTAACTATCATTAACTAATCGTTAGTTAATCACTAACCATCCCAACAACTTGCATTTAAAATCTATTAAATCCGATTCTTTCGTTCTTTTTTCTGCGTTTGATTCTCCTCCTCGTTGTGAATTACTTCTTTTATTGTCAATAAAGGCACTTTTATTTTCCATATTTTCTGTTTGTTACTGTTTAAATGTATTGAGTCCAACAAGAAATTATTCTTTAAAAAAAAGGTAAGTCATTTAATTTTTGCACATATATCTTTATTTCATTCGTTATTAAATAATGTCTGTCCACAATAAAACAATTTAGAAGAAAAACATAGAAGTTCGTACTTTGTCTTCCGACTTTAGTGCATTTCCATATTTGTTTCTTTGTTCAGAAAATGCCTGCCATTAACTTTATTATCTGCCAACATTGAGTAACAACCAGACGCAGGAAAACTCACCAGACTCTAAATCACTGGATGTCCTCTCTGCAGAAGATGTCTCTCGTGTCCCTCGACTCACATTGAGACGCCAAATGCATCCTGATTCCTTATCCTCTGTTTTTATTCAGATCTTTGCTTCTACGATCACATCAGGTCTCTCTTTTATTCACTGATGCAAACTGATTAAAGTTCTCCTCTAAAAGTACCAGGGGACTTTTTGTGTCACTTTATTTACTGGGCTCCTGTTTGACGTAGAAAAGCCTTTTTGTCTGAACCAACCCTCTGATTTGTGTTGTAATTCATCACAGAGCGGTCGGCTCGTCGCTCGTCTTCTCTGATCCGTTGTGGAGATAAGAGCCACAAACATTTGCTTTGTGCAGAGAACTGATCCAGGGTCACCTGGTGGTTTTATGCTGCGTTCAAGTTTTACTCGGAATTCTGAAATTCCGACTTCCAGGTCTGAAAAGTCAACTGGAGCCAGGGTTTTCATTCTAGTTTTATTTGATTTCATTGTGACTTCCTGTTAGTTAGTTTTAATTATTTTTTAAAGTGGATTCTCTGGTTTTTATTAGTTAGTATTAGCTCAATATTGTTTCATTTCAATTTAGTTTTTATTAGCTATATTAGTAGTTTTAGTTATTTCATATTTTGGTTAATTCTTAGGTTCAGATTTGAAAAAGGTCAATGAATTGTATTGCAATTATGTATGCATTGCCTGGATAATAAATACTGAGCAGAAAACAATTTTTTGTTCATGGATTCATTTGAACAAATTGTCATTTTATGGACTAGCATAGCGTAGCCACTAGGGGGCGCATGCAGCGCCATAATTTACCGACAGCTGAATTTTTTTTTTATAAAAAATCAGTTTGAAAGGCTAATAAATATATTTATAAACACGAAAACGATATTACATCTATAACTTTGCTGTGTTTTAGTTAGTTTTATAAATGTAGTTCCAGTCAGTTACCGTTTATTTATTTCAGTTCCCGTTATTTTGTTGGTTTTAGCAGGAAACTGGCGCGTTTCAAAATGGCCGCTCCTCACAACAGCAGTGGTGAGATGAAGTGTAAACATGTTTAGTTTATAAGACGCACGTCTACGATCAATCAACAGCTCCATACTGGATAAATTAATACATTAAAGTTACGTTTTGCAAACAATGTTTATGGCGTTCCTATTTATTGTTGACAATACATTTTAAGTGCCACCATTTACTGTTTTTTTTTTACTTAGAAAAACATGAAATAAAAGAAGTTTTACCTTTTCAATGATTTTGTAGGAGGAATTTTTTTTCAGATTTATGTTGTAAGGTTTTACATAAAATATTTCTACAAATTGTTGCAGAGAAATGACATGTGCACATATATAATGTTCATTTTGACGCTCACCCAACATATTTGTTTTGGATTAATGTTTGTCAAGTTGTATTTTGTGACTTGTGTGGATTTATATGCAAATTTATCCAAAATGAGGAAATTATTTACTTTATTTAAGCTGCTATTTCTTGCTGACATTAACTAATTTTGTCTTATTTCAATATTTGCACTAAAAACAAGATGTTGTGTTTCTGACAATCATCTGAATTCACCAACTTTTTCCCCTGTTTTTGGGTTTTTGTTGGATAAACATCCAAACTCATTCAACATTGGTTTTTAAACAAAAAAAAAAAAAAAAATCAACAGTTGAATGCATCACCGCTCCTCCTCCGTTGAGTTTAAGACGCTTTTGAACCTTGAACGCACCATGAGTCAAAGTTGGGGCCAATCAGGACGCGTCGCTCCCTCCTGTCCGGGATGCAGGACGCAGCCAATCCGCTGCTGCCCGCCTGGTTGCGCGTTGGATGCGGTTGGAGTCTCTTCTGCGCCGCCGCTCTCATCAATCTCCGCTCCGCACCTGTTTGCGTGGATCCGTCCCGCATGGGCTGCCGCTCAGAGGAAATGCTCAGTGACTCGTTTTACGCTTTGTAATTTATTTATTTTAGCTACCGGATATCAAAGCATCTTTTTTTTTTTTTTTTGCAAGCTGATGAGAGTTTGGGCTGAACTCGTATAAAAGCAACAGACACTCCAAGCAGCTCTGTGACATTTTCCCTTTTCTGTCTGTAGCATGGGAGGAAATGAGCGCGGCGCGCTGCTATAGGGAAGGAATAATCCAACATTTGCTGTCAGCCGTCAGGAGGCTCGATCTGCGCCGCCGCCTCGGATAAACTGCATTCTTCCGATCCGAGGATCCGACTGTTAACCTGCAGACGTTTAACACTCCAACGGTGAGTCCAGAAAATTAGGCAATAAATCTACTACTGATGGGAAATGACCGGTGTGTGTGTGCGTGTGTGTGTGTGTGTGTGTGTGTGTGCGCGTGCGTGTGTGTGCGCGTGTGTGTGTGTGTGTGTGTGTGTGTGTGTGTGCATTAGATCACACAGTTGTCCACCTGTTGAGTCAGTGATGGGGGTTTTTTCCATATGGATCGACATAAAATACTTGTGTTATTTTATTTTAAATGTATTTTTCAAGACTTTCTCATGATGACGTTCATCATTAAATTATTAGTTTTAATTAAATTATTCTCCTAGTTTAATCTCAGATCTCCTTTCCTTTACTATTGTTTGAATGAATGAATGAATGAACCGGTTGCAGTCCATCTATGTACAAGGTGTAAATAAACTCATTTTATTTACTTATATTTATTTTTGTGGACAACTTCAAATTATTCATGGATCATTTATATATATATATATATATATATATATATATATATATATACTGGTATATCTGGATATATATATATATATATATTGTTTGTATGTTCAATATTGTAAATAAAATGCAGCTTGTGGCGCTGAGATACCTGGACACATCACTGCTGACTTGCTATTGGCTGGCATTTTTAAAGCAGCCAATCCAGAAGCGGTGTTTATGTTCCTTGATGCTGATTGGCTGAACCCTGCCGAAGCCCTTCATGGGTCTTCGACCGTTTGATGAATGGATGTTGTCACCAAAGCTTAAAAGTCTGATTTAAATACTTATTTATCTCATGGGAGAAGTTGATGCATAAAAAGATTGATCACTTTTTATGGAAAAAATAAATACTAAGTAACATTTTAATTACAAATTAGAGGGGTTTCCAAACTTTTCCATGCCCCAAAGACAATTAGCTTGTGGCAGGGCAAACACACAACTCTTCACAATATGGAAAGAAATATTAACTTGTTCTCAGTTTTATTGACAATAGTTATTAAGAGTCCATATATGTTTTAGCATCAGTTTTATCCACTGCGGTTTTTGGACGCTTCCTACTCTATTGTCAAAACGTTTCTGTTTAGCGCTAGCTTCAGGAGCAAAGCTAGCATAGCAATCAGAAATATGGACATAACGCCTCAATAAATTATTTTAAGTATACCTTTGGAAGTAAAGAATGAGAAATGATTTAGATTTTGTGACAAAACCACAATTAAATATTTCTGATGAAAAAAATTAACAGTTTAGGAGAACAATAATATATTTCATGGGTACAAAAAAAAGACAAAATTAGTTTTTAATTATTTTTTAGAATAATAGAAAAATAACTTTCAAAATTTATAAAAAAAATAGAATAAATTATGTCGGTGTGCACAGAAAAAAGGCACATATATGTCAAAAGTGAAAAAAATTTGAAACATTATTTTTCTCAGAAATGTCAGATTTTTTTCTAGAATTTTTTTTACTTTTGAAACTCAAGTAATTTCCACAAAAAAAGTGAATTTTGAAACTCAGAAATATCCAATATTTTACTTACAATTTTTGAGATGAATCTCAATATTTCTGAGCTTTTTCTAAGAATTTTTTTATGTATTTTCTTGCACAAACTCATAAATGTTGTGCAAAACTGCCCGGGTCAGCTCCTTCTGATGAACAATAGAAAAGTCATTCTTTTCATTTTGGAGTGAGCCGCCGCCCCTGGATGGATGACGCCCCGGAGAGAGAGCCGCACTCATAAGCTGTATTTGAATAACATGAATCCTGAGCTGTAATAGTTATAATCAGCTGTTGTGATAGAGAATGCAGCATGGATGTGATTACAGTGTGTGTGTGTGTGTGTGTGTGTGTTGGAGTCTCTGAGCGGAACAGTGGACCCCCTGCTGAGCGCCGCTGCCCCCACACGATGGCGCTCTGTGTGATTCACGGCCTCCCTGCACTGACCTGCAGAGCGCACTGTAAGAGTGCCAAACGCCACCTGAACATAAAACACTCTCCACTTCTCTCTCTCGTCTCCTTTTTTTTTTTCTTCTTCTTTTTTTTTTATAGTTTCAGCTGCGTTTGTTTTCTCATTTTTGGGGATTTGTCTAAATTTCCTTTTCATTTCCCTCAGCAGCTCCTCAGCCGCGGGCGGAGCTGTCACCGGGTTCATTAATGAGCCCTCCTCTGGTTCCCCATGTGGAGGAATGTTTGCGAGTGGGAGAGCAGAAAGAGGTGGGGGAGGGGGGTTAGTGAGAGAGACAGAGCAGAGGAGGAGTGGAGTGTGAGATTGTCCGCCGTACCTGCTGCCGCTGCCGCCGCCGCCGCTGCTCAGACATTAACAGCTTCTCTCCGGGATCTGATGCTGCCCGGAGCGTGGAGGAAGCGCCGCTGGAGGCAACCCTGCTTCTGAGCCTCAGGTGGACAGATGGAGACGGAGGAGGAGGTCGGCGAGCCCCAGGCAGGCGCGACGCACTCCGAGGTGAACGGCGACCTGCCGGGGAACCCGTACCTGAGGGACGGGGCGCTGGACGCGGCGGGGAGTCCGGCCAGGGAGCCGGCGGCGCCGCCGTGTCCCCCAGAGTTCAGCCCCAGCCACCAGTGTGGGTAAGGATGGGAAACAAAGAGGCTGCTGCTGCGGGAAACAGCTGCTGCCTCCTTCATGTGGATACCTGGAGGGATCGTTGGCTCGTTTGTTGGGCTTTTAATAAGGCAGTTTGTCAATAATCCTGGACGTCATTTATAGTAATGAGAAAACTTGTTTGTTTTAATTAGAAGGAAAAACTTTGAGAACAAATTTCTGGTGTGGAAAATTCAAAGACTGGTTTTGCTGAACTGCTGAGGTCTTGAATTTTTAGTAATTTTAGGCATTTTAAGGGAAACTTTGCTGATAGTAAATCAATATGTTTGAAAAGATTTATGTCACGTTGCCAGATTATTGTCAATCTGGGTGTTTGGGGGTCTAAACCTGCTGCTTTTGCTCTTTGACTTGTACGGAAGAGGATTATTGCCACTAAAAACAAACAACAACAAAATGAAATCTGACTTTGATCTCAAAAGATTAGAGTCAGAATTCTGAGATTAAAATGAGAATTCTGAGATTAAAATGAGAATTCTGAGATTAAAGTTGGAGATCTGAGATTAAGAGTGAATTTTGAGAAAAAGTCTGAGATTAAAGATGGAATTTTTAGGTTGGATTCGGAAATCTGAGTAGTTTTAATTCTGAGATTTAAATTTGAATATTGAGAAAAAAGGTCAAGATTCCAATCTTAGTTATTTGAGAAAAACTGAGATTAAAGTTGTAATTTTCAGAAAAAAAGTTGAAATCAGAATTTTGCAATTGCATCATTTCCATGAAATAAGAAACATATTTAAAATCTCTTGTTGTAAAATTGTTCACTCCAAGTCATTAAAAAACATGCAGCGTCATCATCGTCCTCCCACTTCCTGCTGTCGTCTTTGTCGTTTCCGCCAGTAGTAACAGACGTTTGTTGACCGTCTGACTTCCTGACTTTTTTTAAAATCAAAAAACATAATCCCAATTCAGAATTCTGAGTTTACAGTCAGAATTATTAATGTGATTAAAACTGTTGACATTCTGCAAACTTTGAAAAAATACGATTTTGCAATCATTTTTTTGTTTTTTGTCATGTTAGCGCCAGAAACGTTTCCATCTAAAAATGTGATTTTTAATATTTTTTCTAAATTGCAGTTTTTTCGTTAAGCAAACCTGCTTTCGTAACCCCATTCCTGAGTTACACGTCGGATGGGATCGCAGCTCGTGTTGCGTAACGCGCAGTGAATGCACACTGAGTTTCCTTTGTGACTGGAGCAGGAATGAGTTCATTCATTTTCTGGCCCTTTGGCTCCAAGTCCTGCGCGCTGAAAGCGTTTCTTTGGCCCTGTCCAGAGTTGTTCGACCCGAGGGCTGGCGGCCGGTACACCGTGTCCCGGTGGCGTCCCCATCTGTGCCGGCCCGGCGCTGCTGGCTGCGGCGCTGCGGAGTCTGACGGAGGGAACTGCCATCTGGCCTCCCTGTCATGCAGAAAGCAGCTCTTTTCATCAGGCTGCTCTCTCCCTCTGTTCTGGTCACTTCTGGAAACGACTGGAGCTTAAATGACCGAATGAGACTTTGTGTGCGTGAAAAGTGTCGTCTGTGGCGAAGGGAGGTTTTTACACGCTTGGTTGTTCGCCAAGTGGGCGAAGCATCAGAACGATCGATAAACTGCCACTTGGATGGAGAGCTTGGTGTTGTGTTCACTTGGTTTCGTCCTGGAGATGGAGGGGATGCATGTAATTCAGTCTGTTCCTTCCTCAACGCTGGTGCCAAAGCAAAGAAATGAGGTTGTTTCATTTTATTTTTAAGGAGAAATAAAGAGGAAAACTCATTATATTTGATCACTTTTATGAGAATATTTAAATAAAGCAATTATTCTCAGACTGAAGTTCATGTGAAATTAAAATCAGGGATAGAAAATAAAAGTTTGAGCTTTTCTTCCCAGTCTCTGCTTCTCCTCAGATTCATGTAAAACCAACCAATTGGTTTCATTGCTGTTATATGTTTGACTTTGCAGAAATAGTCAGAGTTGAGTAGTTACTAGTTACATTTACTCAATTACATCTAATGAAGTTTTTTGAAAAGAAAAAGTACTTTTTGGGAGAATTTTTTCTACGCTGTGCGTTGAGTAACTTAATTAAGAAGTATTTCTGCTCTTACTTGAGTAAAACTCTGGATTTTCTCCCCACTGAATGAAAAACAAACAAGTTTTAACCTGAGATTCTCCTGCAGTTTCTGTTATAGTTTTATATGTTTTCTACTGAAAGAAACTGATTTGGAAAAAAAATCTTTCTTTATTTTTTTGCTACTTTCAAAATTTGTGTCAATTTAGTCTTTAAAATACCAAAATTTTCACTTAACTTTATATTTTGGTCCATCTGATGATGTAATTTTAAAATATTAAATGATAAATTGATCAGTTACTCAGTACTTGATTGGACTTTTTACCAAATACTTTTTGCTTTTACTTGAGGAAAATTATGTTAAAGTTGTGCTGCTCGTACTTGATTACAATGTTGGAGCAACAGATGGAAAAGTTTCACACATGCAAAGGTTTTAACAACTTCCCGCTTCTTGTCACGTCACTTTAAAGGAACCAGACTTTCTTGTACTCCAAACTGTTTTTAATCAATAATTTTTGGGCTGTTTGTCTTAGAAGGACAGCAAATTGATAGTTTTTTTCTCCCATAAATTCAGAAAGCGGACAGGTGGAGGTCAGCGGAACGTGTTTAAAATCGATATGTGCATGCAGAATGCTGAATTTGAAAACTGAGACCCAAAAACCTGCGCGAGGCGTCGTCCTTAAGGAGATCATCTACTGAATGCTAAGCATCCGGCTAACGGCTCTTTGCTTGCAAGTTTGTTTTTAATGTGTTGATAAATTAGAAAACCATCAAAATGTCTCAGTAATATTGAAAAACATGTAAAGGCTTGTTATACAGAGTGATATGTGTTCAAATGTTTAATCCTCTTAAGTTTGATGATTATTGGTTAAGGAGAAATATACCTAAAACATCAAGGAGTTACAATGTTTCATAACTGAATGTAATAATTTTTTTAAAAGGAAAAGTTAAATTATCACCTAATCATGTGAAAATCTGCTGACTCAACATATTTTCAGCAGATCTTCATTGACTCCCTCCACAAGCAGCTGCAGGTCTTTGAGTCCTGTATCCAAGTATGCTAATGGAAAATTGTGTGGAAGGAAAAATGTGACAGATAAAAATGCTTCCAGGAACAGTAACACATTTAAAGTGCAGTTTAGTGATCAAAATATCTGTTTTTAGTTGAAAGTAAATTGGCTGCGTCTCATGTAAAAATGGTCTCTACATGAAAAGACCAGAAACGGGTCGCATTACGTAAAAAAAAAACCCAGAATTGGGTCACTTCAGCCTGCAATGTGAACACAGCCTTAGTCTAACTAATCTAAACTAGTCAAAGCAAAACTAGACTAAACTAAACTCAGCTATGCTAACCTAAATAAAGTAGGCTAAGCTAAGCTAAGCTAAACTAAATCAAACCTTAATATCATGGGTAACAAAACGTCACATCTACCATAATAAATAAATGGAAATAGTAGAAAGTTTTGCACATAATTCAAAATTAGCTTAATAAAAACTGTGATTTTGATTGGAAAAAAATTATAAAAATCAATAGTGAAATCGATCGGTGTGAAAATCTTTAATTATTTTCAGTTTGGTTCATTAATTTTGCTGTAACAGATCAGTCACAGCGTGTTAAATTTCTTAACGTAGGAGAAAGTGAAAGCAGCGTATAGTTTGAGTTGAATGGCTCCAGCAGCAGGAAGAATCATGTTCTGTGAACTTTGACCTGGAGCTTCACACCGACTCCTGACTGAACAGTTCCTCTGAAAAACGATTAAATAAGGTAATGAGCTGCAGCCCATAAAACCTGCCTGTTCAATCCCTTTATAATAATAAACCTGCCACTTTAAGATTGATGACAAAATCAATAATTATTCTAAAACGGTAACTTTTAAGCAGTCAGTTCTGCGTAACGCTGAGATAACGTCCTGGTTTAACGCTCTTATTCTGAAGGGCAAACCGCTTCCCTTCACCTGATCCATTTAATCAGCACCAAAGCAGGCTCTGTTCTTCACAACATGTTTTCATATTTCATCTTCTGCATTAATCAAGATTTTATTGAGATGTTAGAGTAAATTATAGCGGCCTGGTAAGGAGCCATATCCAGTTTGTGCTTCTGTTTACACTCTTGTTTACATTTTGCTTTATTTGGTTTCCTGTGAAAAACAAACAAACAAATCAAATCGATGTTCTGAGGATTCAGAGGCTTTTTTAGAAACTTGAAATACATCTGATAGCAATAATATGTTTTTAAAATAATATGGATTTCAGTTGCATTTGTAGTCAGAAGTTATTAAATCTAGAAAGTTTCACTTATTTCACTTTTAGCTACAGCAATACATTTTGCCCACGTTGTAAGTGAAATAATCTGCCAATATTATCAATATTAAGTAATTATTGACTTAAATCAAGCGTCTACATCTTGCTGAAAAGTTATTTGTAAGTTTGCTTAATCTGATTTTAAATGAATATTATGAAATTAATCTAAAATATATCTAAGATATGATGGTTACATAATAATGTGAAGTTTCCCCCACACCTTCTTCAAATCAGACAAAATTGGTGTCAAATGTTTGTGCTACGTTTGTGCTGCAAATTTTTTTTATTTGTGCTGCAATCATTTTAAAGTTATAAAGAAATGTTTCTAGAGGTCATCCAAGGTCATCCAGACCCTCCTTCCCCTTCCCCCACCTTCTTCAAATCAAACAAAATGGGCGTCAATCAACTCGACTGTTTGTGCAGCAAAAATTTTCGTTTGTGCTGCTTTGGCTTTGAAGATATTAATGAAACGTTAAAGGTCGGAAGGTCAACCAGCAGCTTTGCTCAGGTTGGCTACTTCCTGTGAAAGAAAAGACGATCCTGACACGTGCGGTGGTTTGGGAACAGCGGTTTGGGAACAGCAGTTTGGGAACAGCAGTTCAAGGAAAAAAAAACAGCGACAGAAAAAAAACCCAAAAAGGGGGCGGAGCTGTCAGCGACCGGTTCAGCACAACATAACCGAATGTGAATGTCTGGAGAAAAAAAAACAAATTCAAAGAATAAATAAACGTTTTGACAAACTTCTCTTTTACAATATTGTTAACATAAAACAGAAATGTGTTTTCAGATCTACTTTTTCTCATCGGGTCGGAAACAATGTGCTTTTACTTTAGAACGTAAAAATAGAAATAATGTGGTTCCTTAAGTATATAAATCATGGCTACTGCTGATTTGTTTTTGTTTTTTTTTCTCTAAATGTGTAACATTTTCACATCCCAGGATGTTTTATTAGCTGTATAAGAACAATATAATTTTTACAACAGTTGTAAAAATTGCTTCACTTAAACAACTATTGGGATGTTTGGCTTGTAACCTGAAAAAAAAAGAATAATTTTTAGTGTCCTAAAAATGAATCTGGATAGGAAGAGCTGATGCGTGAGGCTGAGCAACATCTACACAGTGGCGTTATTTATTCATCTTTCATGTTTTTTCAAAGCTGGAGTAAAATCTGGAGTAATCGTGTACCTGCTGAGTCAGCGCCAACCTGTAAGCAAGCTGGCATGTGTGAATAAATATGATGTGATGAATGCATTAGCGACTCAAACAGCTGGTAAATCTTCCAGCCGAGGATTAAAAGAGACGATTCTTTCTCTTTTTGTTTACTTCCAGGCACAGAGCAGTTGGCGCCTCTGTTGCTAGGCAGGTTGACCAACGCTCGACTGGAAGAGCGGCAAACGTTTCGCTTGCAAATGTGAAGAATTTTCCCCATAATTCAGTCCAAAAATGGGGAAAATAACAGTTTTTAATTTAAAAAATGAAAGAATTCACTGTAATTTTTAGACATATGGAACTGGTCATTTTCAGAGTACCCAAAAACTGCACTCAAGTAAAAGTATCAGTACTACAGCAACGTATTTTTACTCAAGTAAAAGTAAATAGTATTTGGTAAAAAGTCTAGGCAAGTATAACTGGTCAAATTACCAGTCATTTATTAAATAAAAAATAAAAAGTTAAGTGGAAATTTAGGTATTTTAAAGACTAAAATGACAATAATTCACATAAGTAACTACATAAAATGTTTCCAAATTAGTTTCTTTCAATGAAAAACTGGTGAAACTTTAACAAAACCTGCAGGAGTGTGTCCATGTCTGGTGAATTTCTGGTTAAAGCATGTTTGTTTTTCATTCAGTGGGTAGAAAATCCAGACGTTTTTTCTCAAATAAGAGCAGAAATACTTCATAATAAAATTACTCAAGTAAAAGTAACAGCAAAAATACTCCTAAAAGTATATTGTTACAAAAAGTTAGTCCAGTAAATGTTAGTTTTAGCCAAACATTTAACCAAGCTGCTGCTCAATACTGAAACTGCTGCTTGTGCTTAATGTCTTATTTATTTTTGATTTGTGAGACTTTCTAATAAATGCAAGTACATAAATTTAAATTACCTCCCCAAAAAATAACATTTTGAAGGAATAATTAGGCATGAGATGCTAGTGCTTGTTATTGAAATGATTTGCTGAAAACTTAAGAATATTTTGGGAGGAAATGAGAGAAAAGCCAACGTTTACCGTCGCTGCTTCTGATTTTTATACGTTTCTTCCTCTCGGCTCTCTGTGCTCAGTTTGGTTAACTGTGAGACCAATTCCTCTGCAAGCTGCACAGAACCAGGGTTGAATATAAAACGCGATGCATTGCTCTGCTATAAAGCAGAAAGTCGGGAGCTGGGATACGAGCGAATTATTGATGAATTAGGAAATGAAAAAGCTTCACATTATGCACAAAATAAATCAGCATGAAATAGGTGGAGGTGCAGACGTCTGGATTTGCTCATTAAACGTGAAATAAAAAGACAGACTGGGAAAAAAACTCTTCACAAAGACGATTGTTGGACTGATATTAAAACAAAATGTCCGTTTTTCCCGATAACCATGAATGTGTGTTTGAACACATCAGTAATTTACATTTAAAATAATTTACAGCTGTTCAGATTAGAGAAACCAAACCACTGAGTTGAGTATTTTTATCCAGCAAGAAACAAAAATTTTTCATGATGAGGCATTTAATGTGCTTTTTTTTTTAATTATTTAAAAAACGTCGGTTAAAAGTGTTGAAAACTCATAAAACAGAAAAATAGCCCAAAGCTCTGAGTCATAAACTTCAGCAACTCTACAGTGAATATGCTGAGAAAGCCTCAGATGGACTGGACTTTCCAAAAAAACCTGATTAAAATGAATGTTTTCTGTCCTGTCTTGTGGTAATCCCCTGGCTCTGCCGCCCTGGGCAGAAAGTCATAATACCCACAGCAGGAACCGCTGCTGCCAAACGTGTTGGAAGAGCCTCCAGAAGCAGCTCTTCATTTATTATTTAAATGGCCGTACTGCTGACGGATTCGCATCCAGCCTTGTTGGTTTAATCTTTTATTACAGTTTACCAGCAAACTTTTTTTATTTCCCTCCCGCTTAATGCAAATGAGAAGCAGCGATGCTAAGCAGGCCCGAGGGATCCGTCGCTGATAAACAGCTCAAGGCTTTATAAACGCTGAAGTTTCCCGTTTTCTTTAATGCTGTTCAGGGTCGTGCAGGGCTGCCGCTAATCTGCTGCAGTTGCAAAGCGAAAGGGGGGTACAACCTGCCAACACACACACACACACACACACACACACACACACACACACACACACACACACACACACACACACACACACACACACACACACACACACACACACACACTGTTGGAGACGGGCAGCTAAGCTAGCAAGAATGCATGTGGGCTGCACAGGGAGCAGGAGTACCTGGAGAAAACTGTTAAATCTCCTTCCAGTGAAGTCTCAAAGGAGCTGAATCATTGTATCATTGTAAAATCAAGGAACTATATATCAAAGATACTTTACTTTGTAATTTAACACCTTCAAATTGGGCATCTGTTGCTTTAAGAAGCTCCTGCTCTTCTGAATCTCCGCCTTCAAAGTCATCACGACATGGCTCCTCTACTGGCCCTTTAACAGTGTTTAACTGAGAAGCAGCTCCTGTAATGAGCTGCCAGATGTTTGCTAATTGCTGCTGGCTAGTCTGAAGGAGACAGAAGCTTGGAAACTGAGGAGGAGCTGCGTCTTGAAGGCGGAGCTACGTCCACCCAGGTGTTTTGTACAGCTGAATGGTTGCCATGGAGATTTTCTAGGCATGTTTGAGAGGTGTTTTTGATTATAACATGATATACATCTAAAAAAAAGTCAGTTTTACAGAACACTGCACCTTTAAAAATCTCCATTTGATCATTACACGCTCACAGAAAGACGTTCATCTCCTCGGTTATAAACAAATTTGATCGTTTGTCTCCTGAATCCAGCCAGAAGAAAAACAGAATCTCTCCAATCTCTGCCCTCCTTGCTCTTACTTTCCCCCTCGGTGTCCTTCAGCTTCAATTTATTGAATAATTAATTGCCAGTTCAGACTCATTTGCACATACAGTGCATGCATGCACTCTCCGGCGCTCACACACTCACACACTAATCTTTTCCCTGAGTCTCCCTCACCAGAGGCTTCTCGTTCAGTGAAAAGGTTCTGCTCCTAACGCCCTTTAGATGCTAATTTACTTCAGCTTCACCTTTGTCCTTCCTCTGGCGTAATATGTGCAACGTTGCTTGAAAAATAATATTGCACAGAGCATAACAGTGATTAAACTGAGGGTTTGGTATTGTGGTATCCAAGTCCAACAACCTCTAAAGTTGCTTCTGAATGTGCTAAAAGCGCAGAAACAACTTATGGTGCGTTCACACCAAACGCGTTTGCATCCAGAGTCTCTGTGGACGCGGGTTGAGGGCGTCATGGCTGTGCGATGGAAGCATTTCGAGTGTTGGACGCGTGTCAGAGTTGGAAAAGTCTGAATTTTGCCACTGGGAAACTCAGCGTCAACCAATCAGAGAGACTCTACTATGTTGGTGTCCTGTGTTGAAAATAAATAAGTCTGTTTTCCTTCTGTCTCTTTTAGCTGGCTAAACCTTCTGGCCTAAATGTAGAATAAACTGAATAAAACCAAACTCTGGAAGAAAACCAGAGGAAGGTCGGCATTTTTACAATTTCTGAGTCGCTATGAAATCTGAAAACAGAGGAACCGGTTGGTGTCTGCAGCCGTCTCAATGCATGTTTGTGTCGCCCGTCAGAGAGAAGATGCCGTTCCACCACGTGACGGCCGGTCTGCTCTACAAGGGGAACTACTTGAGCCGCTCGCTGTCCGACAGCGACAGCGACGTTCTGGCCAGCATCTCTGTGGAGGAGCTCGACGGTAAGGCTTTCCACACGTCTGCCTCAGCTTTTAACGCCTCACCTCAAGATAATCACGTGTTTGGTGCCTTTGCATTTATCGTGTGAATATTTGTATTTTCGAGGGGAGGAATAAGGCGAGCTGGTTTTGCTTTACTCACTGTTTTACCAATTTGAAACCAATTTATTGTCCCAAGGTAACTCAAGCACGTCCTTTCTGTGGGAAACAACAAACACTGGACCTGAAACACACTGCTGCATACTAATCACAGCTCTCTTCTTTGTTACACTAAATGCCAGCTTACAGTCAGAACTACAACAAACCGATGCCTGAAATGGAAAAGCAGCAGAAATGTGGAGTTAAAATGGAAAATCCTTTGGAAATAAACATGGGCAAACTTATTTAGCAAGACGTAAGCTCCAGTGCAAACAGGTTTCTGCTCTGTTAGAGAAACTTTTTGTTTTTCAAAGTGCTAAACCTGCATCCCTGCAAAAACACAAACATATTTTTGTCTAGTTTCCAGTGCAAATACCTTCATGTTCTTGAAATAAGACAAATATTTCTTACAAGAAAGTTTTCAGCAAGATATAGCAGCTTGTTTTAAATTTTAAATGTCTCAATGCAAGTTAAATATTCTCTCAAAGGATCTAATACTTTTATATCAGATATCTTGCTGAAAAATTACTTGTTTTGTCTTATTTCAAGTAAACAAAGACATTTGCACCAGAAGCTAGATCAAAATAATTGGTAATATTTTATGTTTTTGCAGTGTTCACTTTAAAATTGTATTTTTGGTTATGTTTAGCCAATCAATCAGTCAAGTTTATTCAACACCTTACAGCAACAAAGCAGTTCAAAGTGCTTTACGTTATAACGAAACAAAAACAAAATAGTCACGTTTCCAGTGACTATTACTCAAAACAACTCTAAACTGGTTGGTTTTAACTCTGTGTTTCGGCTGTTTTACAGTTTTCTGGAAGTTTATTCTCGATTTCTGTTGCATAGAAGCTGAAAGTTACTTTGTGTTTATTCAAGTAAACAAAGATATCTGCAGTAGAAACTAAACCAAAATAATTGTTACGATTTTATGTTTTGCAAAGAGTGTAAAAAGCAGAAAAAGTTGTTAGCGACCCAGATTCTGTTTTTTAAAGGTCAAAAACAGAAAAACAAAACTTTGGTTTGTTTTAAGCTTTAATATGATGCAGCACAAACTCATCCTGGTCTGTTTTTAACTCTCAGCAGCACAGGACGGTTTGTCTTCCAGGATAATTTCTGCTGTGCTTCCTCTCGCTCTTTCGCTCTCTGTTTATGAACCTTTTGTTTTCTCGCCTGTGTGAGAGTAATCACCCGGCTCTGTACAACATCAGCCTGATCAATAACAGTCTGCTGGAGTCAGCAGCCTCACAGGCAAACTAGACTTCCCCCCTCGTTCCAAAAATATTAATCCACTGATGCGGCATTAAGCTGCCGCCTGGAAAATTGGCAGCGCTGCGCGCGGTAATGGCCAGATACTCTGTCAGGGTCGAGCTTTAATATGCATGAAGGAACCTGCGAAGTATGAATTCCTCGCTCCTCGTTTCAATGGGCCCGTGTTGTTTGGCAGGTAGGAAATTGTCGGGAGCGAAGACGATTCATTTGGGCTCCATTTGAAAACACTCCGACTGGCTAACTGCTGCCTGTCAACAGAATAATTACTGCAAAAGGATTTACCGTGCGCTCCATCCTGGATTGATGGCATCACGAAACACCAGTTTGTTTTCGCGAGCGGCTGAACGGGGAACAGAGTCTTTAGTGCTTAAGGACCAAAGTTAACGGTTGTTTTCTGTTTGTTTATGCATGAAGCTGCCAGCAGTACTTTGCTGAAATAGATTTAGTTATATGGAGAGTATCCAAACGTTTAACTCGATTTAAAAAGTCTTTGGTAAAAAGTGTAACTGATCAAATTATCAATCATTGAATGGATAAAATTGACGTCATCAGACGGACCAAACCATAAAGTTAAGTGTAATTTTTGGTATTTTAAGGACCAAAATGACAATAATTCAAAAAAACAACGAAATCTTGCAGCTTCTCTCAATAAAAAAACTTCGACAGAAATTGGAAAAACTTTGCAGCATTAACAGTTAAAAACATACATAAATCATAACCTTCCCAGCCGTTCAGTCACAGTCAGCTGTGACTGTTACCATTCGCGGTTCGTGTCCAGACTCGAACATGGGGGTTTCTGTAGATCACAGTAGTGAAATGAGTAGTTTCAAAAACTTCTGGAAGGTAACTTCTAGAAGTTTTTGCTCTGCGCCGTTACCTAGCAAACCTAGCCAAGCCCAGTTTGTTACCAAGCAACCCAAGCTGCGCTCCAGAACATTTGGTCAGCTGGTTTCACCACTATGTGCGCTGTACATTGGCTACTGTTGTTATGACCAGAAACTTGCTGAATTCTTGTTTCAATCACAAAAATGCGCAACACCCCAAAATACATAATGTCATGTTTGTGCTGTTCCCATTAAATAAGAAAAACAGCTAAAATCATCTGTGGATAAGTTTGTCGACATGATAAATGGAAACGCAGATGTTGGTGGCCGCGCAGGAGACTCTGCTTCTCACCTGAACCGAAATGTTGGACGGACAGCAGCCTGAAGATAAAATCCAGCCTTCAAAGCCAGAAAGATGAAAGGAAGGAGAAGTTGGGGATTTGAAAACATGTCTGACAGTCAGAGGCAGGTCGAGCAGATGAAACATGTGACTCATCTTACACACTCCCACCAACTTGGAATGTCAAAAAGCTGAATAATGATCCACCCAGACGTCCAAACTGCTTTAGAAAACTCCCTGCAGTTTAAATAGACACTGATACCAGAGACTAGAAGAACAAACATGTTAACTTTCTTCAACTTGAAATGTTCTTCAAACCTACCGATGCCAAAGTTTAGCTGGGAAACTTATAATTTCTGCATTTTTGCTAAAGCTCCAGTAAACAAACTGACTTTAAACCCAAAGTTTACCATTTTGAAACATCAGAAATGGCTGTTTAAATCAGAATCAGAAAGGCTTTTTTAATGATTCATTTAATGACAATTACTCCAACACTTAAAAACAAAAAAAAAGTTTACAATAAAATAACGGAATCTAAATTTTACCGTATAAATATGTTTATATGGTAACCACAGCTGCCAACATTTCACTGTAAATTAGAAACATTTTTCACAGTGCATCTAAAGTGCTAAAGTACTAGAAAATAAAAGCATAAGACATAATTACTTTCACAGCTACTACACTGTATACATGTTAAATTTTTTAATATTTTTTTTTTTTTTTTTGTTCAAGTCAACCTTTATTGAATTTTTATTTTAATCTCAGAATTCTGATATTTTTCTCAAAATTTTGACTTTAACCTCAATTTATTTCCTCAGAATCAGAATTATTTAAACAAATTTAATTTTTAAACTCACATCTACCAAGTAAAGTTTGGACAAAATGTATACAGTGCATATTAAGTGATTATTGTCATATCCTGAGAACATAATTGACAAACACCTACAAGTGACAGGAGTCTTTATTTTTGGCCCTTATCCTCTTCCGTACTATTTTTATGTAAATGCAACAGTTAATTTACTCAGTAGCAGCTGTTTTGATAAAGTAACAAATGGATTTAATAAAAAGTCGGGTTGCAGATGGGAATTTATGCCAAACTTGGATAAATCTCAGGATTAAAATGTTGAGCAGCTGCTTGCCATGCAGCTGCGTTTGGAGTTATTTTGATTTTTTCCCCCTCTGATTTCCTGTGTGTATGTTTACCACTCACTGCTTTGCAATACTTAAAAAGGCGATTTACAGTGTTTGTTCAGGTCATTAAAAGCCTTGCGCTGGCTGCCTTTTGGCTGAAAGTGTAAAATCATTCATCTGGTTAATTTCCCATCTGAGAGCAGAAGCTGCTGCTGCCTTCGGGGAGAGCCTGCGGTCTTCTTACCGTCTGGATAATGGCTTTAAAAGTTGACATCCATGTCAGTCATACAGAGGCAGGTTGTATCAGTGTCAGCTTTTATTTATAACAACCAATTATAGAGCAGCAAGAGAGGAGGAAAGGATAACTTTATGTATAAATCCTGGAAGAATAGCAAGATGAAGACGTAAATGTGCTTCCACAACGTTTTTACTTTGTGATCGAAATGCAACGTTTTCCCCAGGAAAGTTGAAACTAATGTTCTGTTTCTTCATTAGCTCTCTGTATCTGCGTCCCATTTTCTCACACGACGTAATGAAGCGTTTTTCTAACCATTTTCTGTCTAACTGTGTAACGTTGTTAATGCTAAGCCTTGCAGAATCCTTAAAAGTTTTGGTCTTTATGGAGAAAACCACAAAGGAAAAGACAAAGCAGGAGAAGATCCAGTCGCCTTTGTCTTCTGGATCTGTTGTCACAGTTTAACTGAAAACTGCTTCATTTCTTAACGTATTTATGAAACCTTTAGGGCGTCTTCAAACCGTGGAATAGTAGTACTACACCTTCAACTTTTAAATATTTTGCAACCACAAACGTTTTGTGTTGAGATTTTGAGAAAGCAGTGTATGTCTAGTTTTCACACCTAAAGGTTGTTTTTAATTCGCTCCGTTTATTGTCACTTTCAATAAACGGAGCAGTTACTTTCAGAAGTCACCTATTTAGCTCATGCAAACTTTTTAACTTAATCTCATCATAATCCAGGTTTTCAAAGAGAAGTTTAGTAAACAAACAGAATGTAAAACAGAATTCACTTGTGTTTAGTTGGCTTTAGTTCAGCTATAGTTCGTTTGCCTAGAAAGTCCGCTTCGCTTGGGAGGTGTGAATGCGTAATCAAACTGTGTCATGCGGACCAAAACGGTGAACTCTGGTCCGCCTAAAACCCCGGTCTCAGTTCAGTTGACGTGAACTGGTTCGGTTTGAATGTATATGTGAATGCCAAGCATACCAGAGACTGCTCCAAAAACAGGAAGTGGACTACAGCACAAGGCATTCTGGGTAAATATATACAGAACAAAAGCGTTAG